GCATTACCGCCTTTCCGATTGCACGACCCTGGGAAGTCAGGGATGTAAACACTACTGAGGTCACCGATGCGGGAGGTCCGCTCGCTTTGCTGCCAGCTCCAACGACAGGTGGATCCCATGCACTTCAGGAGCTGCTCTCTCGGTGGTCTGGCCAGCCGGTGCACACCGCCTTTCGAGGGCAGCAACGACTGGTGGTTCTCACAGTGGCGCGATTTGTTGAAGGCCGCAAGCTCAGCTATGCTGTCACTGGTCTGCACCACCCCCTTCAGCTCTCGCAGTGGGCCCCGACGGGCTCCGTACAACTAGAGAAAGGATGGGTTCAGTCCTGTATCTTCCACATAGGTGACACCCCGCACAGTGGACATTATCGCTCCCTCTGGAGGAGCAACCCCGATCAACCTTGGCTCAGCACGGACGATGGTCGTCCGTCGGTTCAGGCCTCAGATTCAGATCTCAGGCAGGCACGCCACGGCTGCTATGTGCTGTTCGTGCGACTTGGTTCAATACCGCACACAGCGGAGGCTGGCCCTATGCCAGTCCAAGTTTCAGATGATTAAGCTGAGGGTTCCCCTGAGGCCAGGGGCCCCTACTTCCCCTTGCAGGAAGGGGGCGACCTACTGGCTCTGTGGGACCGACCTGCCTACACGGCAGGGAGCAGGAACGCTGTTGTTCAGTTTTGCTGCTCAAGTCGTACAGCTGACGTAGCTCCACTACTCAGCGTTTGTGTGCAATAGCGGCCTATACCTGTCATGCTAGTCGGGCAACGCTCGCTGCTTTCCCAGAAAGGCAACGCCTGTCAGCAACACAGCTGACCAATGGCTGAAATCGGCTTTACAAACCCCCATTCTCGGCTCGAGAAGGGGGGTTTGTCCGAGGCCTAAAAATCAAGGTTTTGCAACCCCCCATTCTCGGCTCGAGAATGGGGGGTTGTCCGAGGCCCCCAAGCCATTGCCGGCAAGCCTGGCCTCTGGAGGGGAGTACGCCTCTTACGAATAAGGTTAGCCTTATTAGGCACAGTGTGCTTACCGCCAGGGTGTGCCACATCGTTCACCGATGCAATCTGCTTGCCCACAAAAGCGGAGCGGCCTCAGATAACAGCACTAGCAGCCGTTCCACATGCTCATCACCTTTGCGACCTTACGGCCCATCGCCTTTGATTGAGAGTGACCATGAGTGGGACGCCACGCAACAGGCACTCTGAGTGACGGTCCCGAGGGGGTACGGCTCATCAATCATCGGTCCGTGGACATGGGACGCCATAGTCCACACTGAGGGTGACGGAGGGTTTCTCACCCACGCCTGAGACGCATGAACCGGCTTTTGAGGTAGCTTGTAGGGTAGCTCTCTTCACGGTAGCCTGTTTCAGCGCTTTCAGGCCCAGGCCCTTAGCATTTCTGCTCTCAGACCTTTGTTCAGGTGCAAAGGCAGTCTCACACGCCCGCAATGAGCAGAGCCCGCTCGCTCAGCGTCCAATAAAAAAAATTGTTGTTGTTGTTGTTGTTGTTGTTGTTGTTGTTGTTGTTGTTGTTGTTGTTGTTGTTGTTGTTGTTGTTGTTGTTGTTGTTGTTGTTGTTGTTGTTGTTGTTGTTGTTGTTGTTGGTGTTGTTGTTGTTGTTGTTGTTTGTTGTTGTTGTTGGTTGTTGTTGTTGTTGTTGTTGTTGTTGTTGTTGTTGTTGTTGTTGTTGTTGTTGTTGTTGTTGTTGTTGTTGTTGTTGTTGTTGTTGTTGTTGTTGTTGTTGTTGTTGTTGTTGTTGTTGTTGTTGTTGTTGTTGTTGTTGTTGTTGTTGTTGTTGTTGTTGTTGTTGTTGTTGTTGTTGTTGTTGTTGTTGTTGTTGTTGTTGTTGTTGTTGTTGTTGTTGTTGTTGTTGTTGTTGTTGTTGTTGTTGTTGTTGTTGTTGTTGTTGTTGTTGTTGTTGTTGTTGTTGTTGTTGTTGTTGTTGTTGTTGTTGTTGTTGTTGTTGTTGTTGTTGTTGTTGTTGTTGTTGTTGTTGTTGTTGTTCGCGTCACGAAAGCAAGCTGCTAGCTACTTTGGAGCTTGCGGGAGGTGTTGTTTCCTGATTCTGTTTGGGTGAAACGAGACTTCAAGGGGCCTCAGTTCCTGATACACCAGTGATCTAAGCCAAGCGTCAGGTTTTGCTGCAGGAAAGACTGTTTCACGTTCACCGCAGGTGTCTTTTCCGACTCGTTGACAAGCATAGGCATCGACGAGTTTGTAGGAGGGTGCACACACGTTTCAGATTTGTCATTGTTTCTTGCGTTGAGGAGCGAGCTTTGCCGTGCGTCGTTCAGAGCAGGCGTAGGTTTATGAACCAGTTCGAACACAGCAGACATGGAGCAATGAGTCATTGGCATTCGCTTACCATCTGCGCGCATTTGCAGTACACAGCTGCCACTTCCCTTTCAAGCAACTTTCATCCGCTCTTCTCTCAAATTGTCGTTGCTGTGGTGGTGGTCGTGGTTCAGACACTGCACATTTTTCGCATGAGAGTAGCCTGCACTGTTTCGGACGGATGCCCGACTTTGAATTCTTCGGTAGGACCATAATGTAGCCATCGCCGGCTGGCCCCACATTCAGGTCCACATGTCAGGACTTTCATGCAATCACCTCGACGGCCACAGATCTACAAGCTTAGACGGGTGACTTCGAGCTGAGCTTAGCAGAAGCCGCAGAAGTGCATAGTTTGTTGACAGAGTTGGGTTTGGAAAACTGGAACCGAAATGTCACTCAATGGACTGCTGCACCCAGCAGACGCTCGAAGAGTTGATTGCAGCCCGAAACCAGAACCAAACTTTCAAACCCGCACCAAGACCCATGACCAGGGCACCAAAACGACCCCAACTCTCACCAAGAAGTTGCTGCAGTCACCAAGCTTCCAAACCACAGACTTGGCAAGAACAAGCGGAATACTCGCAGCTGCACAGCGACACAACGGTCGAATCCTTGACAACTCAGCTCCTTCTCAGGATGGTGTCGTGGTGTACCAAGACTCACCGCTAGTGTCCGTAGTGCGGCATGGGCAAGTCTTGGTCATTCACGAAGCAGACCAGGCTCCTCTAGTAGCCTTTGGTCGATAAAGCACAGTCGGTCGAGAACGTCGGCAGTGTAGATTCCAGAGATATTTGACACCTCTGTTCGCGAGTGGAATCGTTCATGGCAAGGACCGCCGGACATGCAATGATCTCCGGGCCGAGCGAGCAAAAAAAGTTGGCGCACTTGCATTTGTTTTGGTGCAGCGCGCGTCGGCTAGGTGCGTGTTCTGTTCGTTTGGTGTGTGTTTCGGTTGTTTTGGTGAGCGTTAATTTTTGCAACCGAGAAGAGTTCGGATGGAGCTCCGGAGGTGAAAAGGTCAAGGACCGATTCTATTTGGAGACCAGGAGGTTTTCCAGTGGTCGTTGTCCATCAGAAAGCCAATGCTTTGGATCAGGGAAGCAAGGAGTTGAACGAGTGTTATGCTAAGTCAAGCTCCCGTTGCTGTTCAAACCCGTAATCCTTACGTGACAATAGGTGCTTCAGCGACGGAATATGCAGTGAGATTACGGATGTGGAAGGTTGGCGGCAAAGACTTCGAGCTGTACGGCTGCGATGGGGGGTGCAATGCTCAACCTGTCCGGCTGGATCCGCCACCAATTTAAGAACTCACTGGCGTGGCAAGTCATGCTGCGGATTTGCAGTCAGCGGTTTTTCATGCAGTTGCCAGGGCGGCTTTTTATTGAGGGCCGTCAGTCCGATCGCTTGTGTGGGATGCCCAGGCTTTCTAGCTTCTGGGCTGCATCCCAGTTCGGCTCTGCAATGCACGTGCTGGCCTCGGATGGGGGTGCTCCATAATGAGGCGGTGACCCACTAGGACCACCGAAGGCTTCAACTGAGAGTCAGCTGGCCTGTGTGCCCGAGGCTTTCCTGTGTTTCATGCAGGAGGCGGAGCAGCCGTAGAGCTCACTCGTCGCACCCCCCCCGAAAGTAAGAGCCATTGCAGCTGCAAGAAGCCCCTCCTGGCAGTGTAGGAAAATCATAGCATGGAATCATGTCACCAACCGGCAGGTGGTCAGCTTCTTGCAGAGGAGTGCTCCTCTGCAGCTCCCCTTTAAAATCGAAAGAGATAAGGCCGGGCTGCACTGTCGCTCCTGTCATCTTTCTTCTTTCGATTAATGATGCGCCTTTGACGGTGGGCTGTCTGAGACAGCGAATGAGGTGGGTGGTTGCTCCGTGAAGGGCAGCCAGTTTGACCAAGAGCGGTGGACGAAGGCAAGACAGAACATAGCAGTAGTGTTGTTTGCGATGTCTGTGGCTGAGTTGTTTCAAGGACGCAGACATGAGATTCGATAGACTTGTTTCCTGTGCGTCTCCATTTCTTTGTCACTTTCTCTCCCTCCCTTGTAGCCCCGCGGCTTGTCGGAGTGGCTGTGCAGATTTGCGGTGCCAGTGATGACATTAGAACTCAAAGCAGATGAACTGTAAGTGGATAGTTGTGACGGGCTTCGGCAGCTCATGCTGTCATCAGATTTCCTGACCCAACAGGCTTTGAAGTTCCTTCTCATGGACTTGAAATACCTCATCGCGGTCATCGAGACGACCGGTCCCAAGTCGAAAGTGCGCTTCGTCCAGCAAAGTGTCGAACCTGAGCTCTCTACCTATATTGAAGCAGCGCGCTCATAAGTCTAGAAACAGTCAGCGGTGCCGAGGCGTGACTTCATGACATCTAGAAGCAACACGACAGCCGCATCCTGAAAAAAAAGGCTCAATACACTGCTCCAGCATGCGCCATGTAGATGCCCAGAAAGATGTCTTGCCACCCCTCTTTGCCATTGTTGCCATTCCTGTTGTGATTTGCAGAGATGAAGTTCGCACGTGATTTGCATACGAGCCGCAGTGGCAACGTGCGGCTGACAAGAGCAGATCCGCGAGAGTATCTTTTCTTGAAACTTCCAAGCCGCAGGGGGATCGGCTCGCAGCTGTCGTCCCCTCTCCGTCACTGAAGCAGGCAGCCTGGCTTTCCGCAGCAATGGCGCTTTTCAGGCCACAAAAGCAGTGGACAAGAAAAGCTGTTCATTTCTACTGAAGCGAGCTCGATGTTCTCTGAGTTGACACAGACCCGACTGCCTTGAATCTTTGACCTGGTGCCCTGGCCCGGCTGCCCCAAGCCTCGGGCCTCGGCGCAAGGATGCTCCTGACTGCCTTGGCCTGGCAGCTGGCCAGCGCGGCCCTGCTGGCCCAGGATCATAATTTTAGGTTCAAGTCTTTGTGCGGGTGTCGGCGTGGTCAAGGCCGGGTAGGTGTAGGCTGAGCCAAGTTTTCCGAAGGAGCCGGTGAAGCCAACGGCCTTCGTGAACACGCCCGACTTTAAGGCAAAGAGGGTCACTACAACTGCGCAGTGCCACACTTGACACATGCTTTGAAGCAGCCATTGCAAGACGCTCTGCAATTTGAAGGCTTCAGACACCCTGCGAGTACAGCTGTGGGTCTGGCACCTACCCTGCGCTGCCCGAACCAGTTTCTGATGACCAGGGGCATATGCGCACGTGACAGGTTCTCGGAATTGTCTGCACGACGGGGCTAGACCCGGACTCAGAAGTTCGAGGGTTTGATGGAACGACCTCAACACGAGAGTCTATTTTCCCGGACTCCTTTGTTCGACCTGCCGAGTCTTGTTCATAGCAGATGAGGGCGTCAAAAGGCCTCCCTTCCCTTCCATCTGAAGATCTCGCACTTGCCTCTGAGGTTGGGTCGGCTCGAAGCTCAGCCTTGGACAAAGAGCTGCGCTTTAATTGACAAAGTTTCGAGAACTGTAAGGTCTGGTGGATGCCTGGAGCTCAGATCCTGTGGAGCCGTGGAGGTTCCCTAATCAACCGCTGCACACATGTGAGCACGCGTGCACATTGTTCCGCGATGTCGTTTTATCCACATTCAGGACATGCTAGTCATCGTAATGCATGACGATTCCAGCTTGCACACGTGTTTTTATGTGTTTTTAAAGTTCCACAGAAACAGTTCAGAGACGTTTCCAATTGAAATGACACGAACCACTCAGGTTCCGGGTGTAGCTAGCAATGGTTGTCCCACGCATGTGTAGGTCTAAGGATCATGAGAACCTCGGAAGAAGTCCAAGGTGGTGCTCGAGCACGGACGCATTCCAGGGTCACACAGCTTTTGCGGGACCTTCCCCTTTTGGGATGCTTTCTGAAGACTCTGGAATGGTGACGAGATTTTCTTGGACCATCTTGAGAAACAGCTCCGCTTTGGCGAGACGACCGTGTTGGACAGCCACGAGTAGATCTATCGGGCCGAGTCAAGTCTAGGATGATGATACAACCTGCAGGACTGACTCAGGACTTCGTGCTTTGTCGAAACTTTTTCTCACGTGGTGGATGGCTCCGAATCCAAACTATCTGGTCCTTCCCTTCCTACCAAAAAGGCCCTCTTTTGGGGTGATGTATTCACATGTACTTATGTATATATCCACGGTATCCTTGGGTGTGTATCTGTGAATGTACCATGACCAGGTTCAAGACCACCCCCGGTCAGGCATCGTGATCAGGCGTGCCAGTTGAACTTCGGTGATTTTGCTATGTCAGTTCCCGGTATACAGAGCTTCAACACGCACACTCAGACCAGCATCGCCCCTTGCTGAACTCGATACTGTTTTGATGGACATTGCTTGCAGCACCGAGAGGCAATGTTTGCGGTCATCTTGAATGAGATCCGCCTGAGCTTGAACCTGGGGCTCGGAGCAACAAGTGCTCGGTCCAGCTTGGCAAAGATGCTTGCGCGAAAGGAGTCCGAGTAGACTCCGATGGAATCTGATTGGATCGATAGTGGCTACCATTTCGGATGCGATAAGATGAGCAAGCATCGCTGTCCTCTTCGCAGTGAGCGCTCGCGCAACCCGATGCAATGAAACACAATGTGTTGATCTGCCAGAGAACTTGCACTGAGTGGCTACGTTTTGAAGCATGGATCTAATCTTGAAGCAAGTGCTGCTCGTGTGCTTGCACGGTTCCGAAAGCTCAACTGTGCGTCTCCTGTTCTCTCACAGAGAGAAACAACTACAGTCCCACTGCTCCCCAAACCAGGTATCCATCTAGCGTGTAGTTGGGGTTCGTAGTCCCATGTTCTCAGTCTACAGCCACAGACTGGAGTGCCGGATCTTCCTGCCTCATTTTCTAGAGGTTGGAAAGACATCACAAGTGTGCAACTACTGCAAGATACTCGTGTGTGGCACCCGTGGCAATTCATAGCACTTAGAACAGACAGGAACGAAAGGTTCGTAACGTGGGCCCGGGCCCCCCCCGAAGCCACACCCCCTTAATCCAGCTGCAGACCACCGCCTTTCGCAGAATGCCCTGAGTAGTTTGCCTGCGAAGATGACGGCAGAGGAAGAGGCTCTGCTCGGCTCTCCAAGCACATCATCGAATGCCTAGCTCGAGGCAAACTGTTCTTGTGAGGCCAACGATGGTCTCGAGCCTGCGGTGTCCAGCAACCCGATGGGCCTTCCACTGAAGGAGCTCCGAAGATTGAAGGACCGGGTTATAGTCCCTGAGCCCGCAGGGTTTGAGTTGGTGGCCTTTCATCTGACAGGACCAGTTTCAGGATGAGGAAGGTCAGCCAGTCAAGCTGGACGAAGAGTCTGCGCCCGAGTCGATGTGGTGCCCAACCACTATTGATTTGCAAAGCTTCGGCGTTTCCTCTTTGCAATGTTTGAGGCAGTTTGTTGATGCACTGCTCTCCCGGCTGACGGGGTCCATGTCAACATCACAAGCCGAGTCGCTGCCTCGTGCGTTGGCTTCTGGCCGCCTGGCTGCGTGATACTGGTAGTCGATCCGCAAACGCTGAATGCGAGGCGGCGGCGGTGGGAGGGGGAGCTCCGGACGTTGTTCAAGAAGATCGATGCCAGCTGCTCCGAAAGCGTAACGTGGGAGGCCTCCGGCTCTTGGCTTACGGATCTTACGGCTCTTGCACAGATTCGGGGGCCAGTGTAAGCCAGCGAGTAATCTTGAGACTCGTAAAGGCCGTTGCACGGTGTTGGCATGCCACAGAGATCCCGACCCCCAGAGCCACCCCAGAGGAGTTCACGAACTACATGCTGTTCCATGCTCCGGGCTTCAACTCTTCAGACGGCGCTTGCGAGCAGTTGCCCGAGGACGAATTTTGGAACAGCGTAATTTCCTTCTACGCAGAAGATTTGAACGTTGTCCCGCATAGCAGAAGGGCGTGAAGACTTATGCAAGCTGCTCTGTGAAAAGCAAGCAGCAAGGAGCCTGCAGACAGCCCGAGAGCGACTTAGGCCGACCCACAATGCTGCAGCTGAAGCGTTGGCGGGAGCCTGGCAGTGTGGCCACATGGACCGCTAATTGACGAGACACGAGATGCGAAGCCATCTTCCTGCATCCTCCGTGCTCGCAGAACGGGTGCAGGACATGATCAACAACATCGCGGTCGTTTCTGATTTCGCCAACAAGCAGGATAATGGCAATGTGCAAGCCTCAAGCAAGAAGAACTGGCAGCTTCCCGAGACCGGCTCCATCCATCCCGAAGTCCTAAACCCTCGGATGCTTCCAAGGCAACGAGCAGCGCTCCGGCTGGCCACGCCCGGAGGCGGTGGATGGAAGTCGTCGCATAAACCCGAGACCCTGTGAACTGTATCGAGGTAGGGGGGTCCCATCTGTACCAGGTACATTACTGCTGGACGCGACGGATTTGTCAAGGTGCCTCGCCAGCTCGACAGTTTCAACCAATGGCATTCGGTTTGGATCAAACAAGGCTTGCGCTCGGGGGTTCACCGCCTGATGCACTCACTTTGCTTGTGTAGATTTTTTCTTACACAGCCGCTCATGTCACGGCTTTCAACTGTTTGTTGAACAACGAGAGGTTTGGCATCCGAACCTGACGCTGCACAAGGAGATTGATGTCAGCTGCTCAGCTTCATGTCCGGGCCCACGTTGATGCGTCGCTGCCTCCCATAAAAGATTGGTCGGAATGTCGGAGGTAGGCCAGACGAGCAGCTGGCTGTCGGCATGTTGCTGGATGCAGAAGCAGCAGCCCCACTTATTCATGAGTACATCCGTGGAGGTGCAAATGTGCACATGTGTTTTTGGAAACTTCTGTGCAGGTGTAGTTGCATACGTGTATGACTGCTGCATGTATACTGTAATCTGCTTACTAACACCGATGCAGTATGTTTGCCCTTACTGCTAGTGGTACTACCAGGATGTCCTGCTAGTGGTCCCACCACTGTATGTTCAGCAGTCCGGTTTGACTGAACCATTGAACCCAAGATGGTTGTATTCATTTTGCTGCTAGTTCTTTTGGTGTGAATGGTACTGGTTGTACGTGGGATACTTTCGTGACAGGCAGGGTGCGAGTGGCACCCGTGATTGGTTCAAGTGCAACTGAAGGGGGTTGCAGTGGTATTAGCGGCTTTTTTGCGGCACTAGTGGCAGTCGGCTGGTGGGTATATGCTGTGGTGCGTTTCAGAAGGCTAGGGTGTATTTGTCTGAGGATGATCCGAGGCAGCTTGCAAGCTTTAAGGCTGTCGAGGTACCTCTCGGTCTTGCAACAGCGCTTGCTCGATCTGTGGCTGGCTTTCATGGAGCCCTTTCCCTCCCGCTTCTCATTGCGTCATGCCTCCCCGAGCACGAAGCCAACGGATTGTAAGGATGCTTTTTGCCACCTTTGCAAGGGGCTGTCCTTTTGTGCTGGCTGGGCCAGACCGGCATGAGTACTCTGAAGCCTCCCACGAGAAGTTAAGCATGACATCACGTTCGAGCCCCGCCTTCAGCGTCGTGTTGTCCCAAGTATTGTGGACTCCGGCGATCATCGAGGTCGGAACACAGTCTGGACATAGTGCTTGGAAGTAGCATTGACCGTGCTTTTGTCTGGATCCGTAGGGCTGGACACTGAAGGGACGACTTAACTTCGTTCCTAGTTCGGATGCTGCAACATCAAGAAAGGCAGCTGGACTTCATTTTCTACTCTTGGTTGTTGTTCCAGGCTAGATATTCCATTCCGAAATCCACGGTTGAGCCGTGGCAGGGTGGCGCGTCCAAGATGATTTCGTTCCTACTTGCAGTGACTTACATTCGTGCATCTTTCCAGATCACTGCAAGCATGACTTTGGGCTTCATTGAGAAGGAGCCCTGCCGGTGTTTGCAAGCACTAAGGTCCAGGAAGCTGGCCGTCGCTTCGTCGAGCCGTCTGCCAAGTTCTCCTCGGTGCCCGTTGGAAGTCGTAGTTTCATGCGGTTGTGTCATGTATGACCGCACCAGCTGAGGCTTCCGCATCTTCTTCTACGACAGCGCCCTCAGCACGGGCTCTCAAGCCCGGCATCTGGAGCACGGCTTCTCGAGCTCTAATGCTCCAAGGCCCAGTCAGCCACATCGATCACAAGGACGGAACGCCTGTGCCCCACAAATCTCCGTCTTACCTAGCTAGCAGCACGTATATAGGATGCAGGGCCTTCCCATTCCCACCCCTGCACCTACTGTAGCATGTGTGTGGTCTTGCTTGGGTTCTTGTCTTGTCCGCTTCTTTGTCTGTTTGCCTTGGGTGGCGGTTGTGTTTGTTTCGGCGGATGCTGACAAGCAGAAGCTGTTATCGTGGCTGTCTGGCCGTAATTGCATTCGATTTCCCACCACACGCCCTGCCTGTTGAGAAGCTAGCAAATTAGGGCAGAGGGGGCAGTGAGTTCTACAGAGGCAAGGTTGCAGCTGTGAGTTAGCAGTGTCGTTATTTCCATGAAAGGTGGAAAGGTGGTGGTGTTCACCTTTTCCCCTTGCAGAGCCCCCGTATCGTGCGGTTTTGTGCGGTTTGCCCTGGAAGCTATGGCTGGCACGCGGATCATTGCGAGATCCGTCGCCTCGGCTGGTGGGTTCTATTCGGGTACGAACCGTGCCTGCAACCTGCCGCACCGAAAGCAAAGACATGCAGATCACGACTACTTGCCAGCTACTACTTCGCGTTTGAGATCCAAATTTGCCATTGGCATGGGCGGGATACCATTGGCGGGTGGCCATCACAGGGATTATCTCGGTCCTTGGCTCCCAGATTTGCATAGTCGAGCCCTGCTGAAAACGCTATCTGAATGCCTCATATATGTTTTTGCTCCCACTCCTTGCCGCATTCGCAAATTGATTTGCATTGATTAAGCATTGCAAACAGGATAACTGCTTATATATATATATATATATATGCTCACCCCCCCCCCATGACAGACCGTCGTGGGGAAGGGGAAGGGTGGCGTGCGTCCCCAGGCAGGATCTGTCAACGGATAGGCGACAGACACTTCTCCCAAACTCAATTCCAAAATGTTCTTTTAGATGGTTTGCAATTTTTGGAAATTTCTTCACACGCATGCAGCGCTCCTAGTCCCAATCTTAATCTCAATTCTGCTCTTCGTACCACTACTACTGTTTGTCGATCCTAATTCTTGTATCAGTGTTAGCATTAGTATTAGTTTTGTGGTAGTATTGATATTAGGATGTTTAGTATGAGTAATAGTATTCGAATTAGTATTACTCTTAGTATTAGCATTAAGTATGTGTATTGATGTTAATAGTAGTAGTCGTCGTACTAGCAATAGTTGTCGCACAGCAGTAGTAGTGGTAGCATTAGTATTGGTATTTGTATTAGTATTAGAATGAGTATTAGTATTAGTATTAGTGACTAGTATGAGTATCAGTATTAGTTTTAGTATTAAGTATGTGTACTAGTAGTAGTAGTAGTAGTAGTAGTAGTAGTAGTAGTAGTAGTCGTAGTAGTAGCAGTAGTAGTAGCAGCAGTAGTGGTGAC